CGTTATAAACATAAACAATTAATTTTTTTTATCCTTATGAACCTCTCTCAGATTTGCCCCTTTTTCAGGTTCCTTTATTTTTTCCAAGAAAATATGGTCACTGTAGGTATAGCCTAATTTGTAGCTCTAGGCCTTTGGGTTAGTTTCCAATGTATTGTGTTAACCCAGAAATTTGATTCACTCACTAATTGTGTTAAATCCATGGGAACACAGCCTATGAATAGACACTTGTTCCTAAAGGATGTATGTAATGTAAGTGATATTTGTGCCCTAGATTCATAGCATGTAAAGATTACTAGGGATTTCTTGAGTTCAATCCCTTGCATGGTGCAAGAATCCACTTTTACATCCTGGGAGAGGCTCTTTATGACATTATGTTATCAAACTCTAAGCTAGCAGGTTTATAATTCATTGGATTACAAATACAATGGGTTGCCTCTTGGTGCTTTATGAGAGTTGCTGGGGCCTCTTGGTGCTTTATGATAGTTGCCCTTGGCCATGTGTGCTTCACCTCTGAAGCCCCAAGTTGCACCCAGCCTTGAATACTATGGATGTAGCAACCCAAGGAGAAACCCCTGTTAAGCTCTATCTAGTTTGCTCACTTGGACGCATAGTTCCCATCATACTATAGCAATTTTTCTAACCTATTAATAAGTCCAGTTTCAGATCTATTAGATTTTATTTTGAGGGTGCAGATTGTAACCACCGTCCTCTGAGGTAGTTGTAAAGGTTATTATATTGATGTCTACTGGGGCCTCTTGGTGCTTTATGAGAGTTGCCCTTGGCCATGTGTGCTTCACCTCTGAAGCCCCAAGTTGCACCCAGCCTTGAATACTATGGATGTAGCAACCCAAGGACTCTCCAAGCATTGCCAGCAAAACTGTAATTTTGGTGGGGTAGAAGAGAAACATGATGAAATACATAATAGCAATAATATTTGCTTTATTTAACTACATTATTTTCATTACATTTAAATGTAAATAAAATAAATTCAATTGATATTTTGCTCTGGCCAAGCTTACTTTTCAGTTTACAGTTTCCATCATCTTAAGTATGGCTTTAAAAAATTGCACTGGTATAGGGTCATTTGGTACTATAGAATTAGAAAGCCTAATTTATTGGATGAGGCTGTTCTAATATTGTATTGCTATTAAGCATGTGTACTTTTCTTTTATCCCCATTACTATTTTCTTTCTTTCTTTCTTTCTTTCTTTCTTTCTTTCTTTCTTTCTTTCTTTCTTTTTCTTTCTCTCTCTCTCTCTCTCTTTCTCTCCCTCTCTCCCTCCCTCTTTCAGATCACTGATATGAAGAATGAAGTATCTCAGACAAGCAATTTAGTACAAGTAAGGGGCCACCTCAGAAGGGTAAGATGGCATTTCTTCCTTTCTCCCTCAAATTTAAATTAGACTAGACAGCTTTATGGTAGCTGAGGGCCACAACAGAGGGGGGAACAGTGATATAAGGAAGAGACAAAGGCCCCCCAAAAAACATTTTCAGGCACTACATGCAGCCTGTGTCCCACAGGTTGTCCACTCTTGGTCAAATTATGAGACAAATCCTAAATTAGCTAGAATGGTTTGGGAGGAAGCAACTTTCAGATTACAAGAAAAAAAAGCAAAAAAAAAAAAAAGAAAAGAAAAGCCCAACCATTTTCTTCAGGATCTCATAGGACACCTTCATCACATTAACATCTGGTGAGGTAGATTGGACTGAAAGACTGTGACTGGCCCAAGGCCACCAAGTGAATGTCTAGCTAAGGGCAAACTCTCCAGTCCTCATCCAGGATCTTTTGTTTTTTGTTTTTCAAATGTTCAGAAAGAACTTTATTGATATCTGGAGCATATCAATCAAGCCTACATCTAGAAGAATGAATTTGATCTCTTGATAGTAAAGCATGGCTTATGCTGGTGGCACACCACTCAGTGTGGCAGTGGGAACTTAATTTTGGAATCATGGGACTGTTTGACAGCAGATCTGCAGAATTTGCCAGCAGCAATCTCTTCAACCTTTGTAATCTGAAAAGAATGAGCACGGGTTCTACGATGTGCTCCCATATCATGTGTAGCACCTCCAGCAGTTGTCAAATCCCTATATTCCTTGTTCATATTGTGAGTTCCACTATGAGAATCATAGTGCAGCCAGATACCAAAGTTTTTCTCCTTCAGAGGAAACCTCTCAAAAACCTGTCCACAGTACACAATTTCCCCAGAAGATTTTTTTTCATCTTCTTAGCTGAGTACAAATCACTAGAAACACGACTTTGCAACAACATGGTTAGGAGCAAAGCTGAACATACAACAGAGAGGTGGTGTTGGACACTTGGGAGTAGGACAACAACCTTATACTCCTTCATAGTCTCATCACAGCCATCAGATAAACAGCTTCTTAACCACTACAACACTGGCTCAGGAATGTGGCCCACTGTTAAGGAAGACAAAGTTGAGAGTAGAAAACAGTAGAATGTATTGCAAACTTGCCTTATTTCTCTCTGGACTCTAATAGATAATCAAGAAATTGGTTCTACTCAAAATGCTCAAGAGCCAGAACCGTAGAGTTAAGTGGCTTTGTGAATTAGCCCACAAATACCGGAAAATGCTAGCGCTTGAGAGCTCATTGAACATCTCCACTTCCATTTCAGGGTGAGTGAGAATAATTGAGAAATTTTTGTGTAGGCATTTTGCCCAAATGGGACAAAATTGGATCATTAAAGTGGGATTTTTTAAAACTCACTATCAAAAAGGTAAAAACTCCCTTGAACTGAGCCAAACTCTTGATGTACTGTACATCTCTAGATAGTTTCTTGGCAATAATGTGGAAGTGATTTGCCACTGTCTTTTTCTGGGAATGTTTTTGACTTCCTGGCCTAGACTACAGACCTAGATGTCTTGGTGGCTTCTTATCCAAATATTATTCCACCTATTGTGATAGTGGTTATTCACAAGCCAACTTATCAATACTTATTTGACTTCACTGTGGCCATTGGATCTCAGAGAAGAATGGGAAATTAACATGATAAACTCAGGAATTTGTGACTGTTGAATTGAGACAGAACTCAATATGGCTCTCCCCCTAGAAAGCAGTACTGTAAAAGATCTTCCCAGTTCAGTCAGAAAGGCCATGCCACAGATTTCAAAGGCATTAGTGAAAATATAATACTGTGTTATCAGCCTGACACTGTCAAAATTTAGACCAGCCAATCTGGTAAGGGCAAGTGTACTGGGACTGCAAATCTTTGGCCAAGTTGGCTTAGAGCTGCAGCCCCAGCACATCCAGAGGATACCAGTCTGTGGCATTACATTATTATTAAAGCCAAGTGTCAATTCAATGGGTGGTTCCAGAGGACCAGCCAACAATTTTTCCATATTCCATGGTAGAAAGACAGAGCAACTCATAATGCAGATCCACAATAATGCTTCCATTCTGCTCATATGACAGGATGAGTGTCACCTCTGAAGATAATCTGAGTTCTAATGCAAATGTGGTCGTTGAGCCTATTATGGATATTGCTGAGGTGTCTATTGACAAAGAGGTTGAAGATGATTGTTTTCCTGAGACGTCCTTAGAGGCTCCGTCCTCAGAACTTTTTGAAGCACTCTGCTTGAAAGGCCTGCCTCAACGGTTCCATATGCCAGCACCCAGAACGCTTTGTAGACCATCAGCTCTGAGGTGGACCAAGCCCTGCTGCACCAGATCATGTAATGAGACTCTGGAGCACATCATCACCATCCATTATTCAGAATGTCAGAAGTCATATTCTGTGAGCAACCAAACTTCAATTATTGTTGCCTGGGGTGGAGAGTCTCTTAAAGAAACTCATGCCTGTCTAAGAAGCCAGGTTTTGCCTAAATGCCAAGCTTGAGTCTCTTTAGGAGTCTTGTCAGTAGCTGCAGCACTTTACTGCAAGGCAATCTGGGAACGTTTCCCAGTCACTACAGTGTCTCTGTGGCTATTCCCATCCTGCTTACTCTTGAAGTGAAAAGGATAGAGGCTCAGAAATTGTATAAGCAGCAGCTCGAGCTTCAAAGTGCTCACCTGATCGAATTCATCAGGAGGGGTTAGATTCCTTAAGGTAAGGGAAAATGCCACAGCAATAGGTCAGGGTCTATTAGAAATGAAAACACATGGAATAGGATTGTTGAACCAACTGGCAACCCAAAAGGAGAATGTCTTTGCATATTCAGATTGAGGAAGCCTATTTATAGTTAAGAATCTACATTCATTTCTTGCAAGACCTTTTGCATAGAATTAAAACAGAGATAGACTATCCGTTTGGGATTGGTGGTCACAGCTGAAACTTTGAGAGTATCTTATAGGCACTCTCCCAAAAAGAATTACCATGGTGTCAAAGCCAGTCTCTCTCTCTCTCTCTCTCTCTCTCTCTCACACACACACACACTCACACACACACACACACTTGCAATTTAGCAGAAAGCAAACTGGTCAGGGTTCTTCTTGTTTAGCTTCTGTAGTTCTTCCTCAGGACCTTTGCTATTGATCTCCCAGACAACTTTGCCTTTTTTTTTTTTTGACTGAGTGGGTTCACATCCAAACAAAATTGGAGGGTGGGCTATAGCCGCCCTCCAGTTTTATTTCCTAGGAATATCTCTGAGACCTATGTGATATTGGAAGCTGAGGGTTTACTCTGCAGGATGGTAGCTTTCTATGTTTTTTTAAGCTATAACAATTTTTTTTAAAAGTAAATAAAATCAGGTGATTTTTTCCCCATATTTAAATGAAAGACTTTGATGAATATCTATGGAATGATTATTGGAGTGATTTTTATAGGTCCAAAGTTGGTGGAAAATGGAAAAGGAACATAAGGGACTAAACTTTAACATTAATTATAAATAGCAGCAGTAGTAGAATTTTGGAAACATGATTTAGAAAATCTTACATGTGAGCATCCTTGCTGCATCTTTTCTTTTAAGAAACTGGATTGACTGGACAGACGCTCATTTCAGATGTTCTGAAGATAGTAAGAAGAGCCCTGAAGAGACAGATCTATTGGGTGTCCTATTGACTCATATTCCTTCAATAAATGGGATATTGAACATCCTTCAAATACAAAACTTGTCTGCAGTTTGCAATGAAGTATGCACATGTATTCAGGACAAGGGAGGGGAATGGTATGAGAAAAGCAGTTGAATTTAATTTGGAAACATGAAAGTTACAAAGTTCTCTACTTTGCCTAGGAACATAGTGAGCCAATTGCTATGGTTCTATTGGAGCATCAGTTGCCTATGGTTACTACTGGCAAAACACTTGAGAGGAATTACCTAAAATCTCATTAACCCAGGCAATCTGAAAGGGGATTATTGCTGGCCAAAACTCAGTGGGCTCTTGGGCAAACATTAAAATGTACAGAGGATCTGAATGCAGAAGCAATATTTCTTCTACTAAATGCCAGGAAGGACTGCCCATGGATAGCAAATACGATCTTATGAGCCATGGAGAGCAAATACAATCTAGTGAGAAAACCTCTCACTACTGTCCCAGGCCTAAGACCAGATTTCTCTAACTTGGTGTCCTTCAGATGTGTTAGAATCATGGTGCCAGGGTTCCTGGTCAGCATAACCAACAGCCATCTGGCCTGAAAAATCCTAGAGTTGTAACCTCAACATGGCTGGAGTTCAACAGATTGAGGAAGACTACCCAAGAATAAGGAAGAAACTGTGTGAGAAAGTTATTTGGGGGCAAATGTGAAATCATAGCAGTTAGTATAATGTCTTTGAAATTATTTGATCATTATCTGCCTAATAACCAAAGTTTTCTGGGAGTAATTGCAGAATTACTTAAAGCGTTAAAAAACATCCCACTCAAAACATTTAAAAAAGAAAAGCAAAATGGTTAAGACCAAAAAAAAAAAAATACACACATACACACACACACACACACACACACACACACATATACACACACATATACACATACACATACACATACATATACATATACATATACATATACATATACATATACAGTCATGTGAAAAAGAAAG